CACTCGTGCTGCTGCGGGTCCCGGAGGCGGTGCCGGGCTTTTAAGGCAGATTATATTCTTGCTGAAACCTGTCAAGTTTTCCGTATCGCGGTGCGTTCTCTGTGGCTCCTGAAAAGGGGCTTTTTTTTTGCCCGCCGGCGTAGTCCCGCGCGCAGCCGCAATACCGGTTACTTCATAGCCTTGCTGGAGCGCTCATGGGATGAAGTACGTAAACTTCAGGCTTGTGAACGCTCGGCCCACAGCGGTGGTGTGTCTGCCTGCCTGCTGAAAGGAGCTGCACGACAGCAGTCTTAAAGCACAGGTAGGATGTGACAGCATAAAACCTAATTTCTGCGGAGCGCTGGCTTGCCAAGAGCTCTGGGAAATCCAGTGATGGAAGACTTGGAGTTTTGATTTTTAAGCAGGAACATGTAATTTACAATACTTATTCCTTGCTAAGAGTGAAATTATAAGGCTTCTTTTAAGCTCAAGGAAAGCCTAATCTAGAACTTGGTGCACCCTTGAGGGTGCTCTCATTGTTTAACTTGCATTAGAAAACTGATTCAGGCCAAGCTAAACAAAGGTAAGCTTACACCTCGGGGGTGTTTACAGCCGGTGACCTCACTGTGGTGTGCAGCCTCATCTCCTGTTAGCCTGCGGCCATGCATCTGGGAAAAATGCCTAATGTGTAAGCAATGTAAATGACTCTTCTCTTACTGCATTGATTCTTTGAATGGGGTTTGTTTTGGTTTGATGTGGTTGGGTTTTTTTTTTGTTTAAGCAAATTAGGAACGTCTGTTACAGAGGAAGATGTGATCAGTTTTATGCAAACTTAAAATTTTCTTATTTTTCTAGATTTCTTTTTCACTGCTAAAAAGAAACTGCAATGGAGAGTACAGTATTGGTCACTTTCCTTGTATCATTTTCCATACTGCTGTGTGAAAGTTATCACCGTGGAGTGGAGACAGCTACTGTTGTGCATACATTAGAGAGGACTTTTCCAGAAAAGGCGGCTGGCATTAATTTTGACTTGGCAGGATTAATACAGAGGTTTCACCTCCAAGAACTTTTTCATCGTTATGGAGAAAACAACTCTCTGTCAGTTGAAGGGTTTAGAAAGCTGCTCCAGAACATAGGTATAGATAAAATTAAAAGGATTAAAATAGATCATGATCATGACCATGATCATCACCTTCATCACAATCATGTTTTGTTGAGTAAAAACTCAGAGAAGACTGTTCGCCCAAACCACGAATCTGATGCTAACAAAGAGCACAGGAACAGTCACTCAAAGGAACCTCATAAAGTGGAGAATGTAGAACATCAGCAGAACTTTGTACGCAGCAAGAGCACAGTTAATGAAATAACGGCACCTATCGTCGCTGCGCCCACAGATGGCCACTCTGAATTACAGAATGTGCAAGCTGGACAAGTCAAGACAGTTGCTCGTTTAAGTCTGACCAGCTCTAGTGCTGTTAATGTCACAGGTGGCAGCAATGCAAGCTGGCTTGCTAACAGCAAAGCAAATGAATCTCATACTTCTCCCAAGGAATCAGAAAGAGGAAGTTACCTATATTCTAAATTGAAACCCCAAAATACTCAGGAGGTGAGACTGATTCTTTTGTATTCTTGGGAACCCAGATCCACCGGGAATGTTGTTATGGCTTATTTGTTCAAGTGCTTATCATTTTACTGGGTATACGCTTTGTAGGGTAAGAGTACTTGTAGCAAAACACACACAAAGAACTTTCCTTGAAGCTTAACATGTTCCTTCAAAATGTTATGTTCACAAGCTGAGAGGAAAACATATATGCAGTCTAGTTATTTTTTATTTTTCCTAAAAAGAAATATGTACCGTATTAAGTATAAACATACACTTGGTTTTATATATCTGTTATTTATGTGTTTTTAAATATTACTAAAAATGAAAACCACTTCAAATTTAAAACTTGCTGGTTTGCCTCAAAGCCAGGATCTGTCTTGTTTTCCTACTAATGTGGCAAAAGTTAAAAAAAAAAAAAAATCTAGTTAAAATACTGTCATTCTTATCGAAGCTGGCTCACAAGTGTTAGATAACCCTATGGCAGATGGTGTAGAACTGCTGGGAAGTCACTGGCACCTTTGTCCTTCAACCTCCTCCTTCCTCATCTTCTTTAAGATTGTATGTAGACACCACCTGTAAAAAAGATTGCTGCAAAATTTTATCTATAAAATAGTAAAAATTAGTGTGGTTAAAGTCTATATTTATGTTGTAGACAGTTTTCTTACCTGATAAGATAGTTTTCCGTTAAAGGCTTTAAAAAGCAACTGTCTCTCAGGGGTCTTAATGTATGCCGCCATGCCAGGTAATTCAGAGTGGGTATTGTGTAGCGTGTGATCGTAGGTGGTGAATTCACAAGTTGTTACTGTGTTCTGCACAGTCAGAGCAGAAGTACTACTGTTGTTAAAACCCAGTGAGACTGTAGGTCATACAGTGAGGAACTCTTTACTGGAGGAAGCGTATGCAGAATATGTTCAAGACTTTCCACAGTAATCACTTCTATAAAAAGCTATTTAACCTTGTCACTATTTCCTTATACGACCTCTAAAACCTAGTGAGAAGTGTTAGGCTTTTTCTATTTGCACAGCAAAGCAGCTGACCCCCTTGTGCTGAGAATAAGAGATAATTATACATCATCTACCAGAACTCCCAAACTAGCTTGCTGGGCCAGAAGGGGAGTGGAGGTATAGTTCTTACTAAATTGGTCTGTTACCAGTTTTTAATTACCATTGATATAGCTGTGTTCATGTGGTGCCACTGCATTTCAGTTAAAACGGGATGTGCAGTCCTCTTGAGATACATCATGCTGTTTTGGTTCTGGTTAAATTTTAATACATGTGTCTTTCCACAGTGCTCCAGTGCGTCAAAACTGATGCAGTCCCATGGAATAGGCACTCAGGTATTGTTGACTGCTACGGAATTTAGTTACCTCTGTCCAGCCCTTATTAATCAGATTGATGGCAAATACTGCATAGTTCATGCAACTAGTGAAAAAGCTGAAACTCCTCCAAAAGGTTACTCTCTGCAAATAGGTAGGTTGTTTTTTAAACATGAAATAAAAGCTTACTGGAAGCCATTTTATGTTGGTTATAAATTTGAGAAACATATTTCAAAGTTTAAAGAAATTTGTAATTTTCTTTTGGCACTTGACCATGTGAATAGAGAAATCTTTGTGGTGTACCAGTTGTTAATATCCGATTAACTGAATGTCAGGAGTGTTTGGTAACAGGAATTTTAAGCAAACAGAATCTCATACAGCTGTTATTTATTCTTGTTACTCTCTTTTTTTTAACAGCTTGGATTGGTGGCTTTATATCCATTTCCGTCATCAGTTTTCTGTCCTTATTGGGTGTTATATTGGTACCACTGATGAATCGTGTATTTTTCAAATTTCTTCTAAGTTTTCTTGTGGCATTGGCTGTGGGGACTTTGAGTGGAGATGCTTTCTTACACCTCCTTCCACACGTAAGTATTAATTACTGTTTCATACTTTATCTCAAAGCAGAGAATTTGACACCTGTCTGTAGTTCTTACTGATAATTTGAATCCCTATTAATTAATACCTATTTGGTGAGTCATTGCTCAACCTTGTAAGGTAGATTATTTCACAGAAAGGTTTCACATTTTCAATTGTTTGCATTATTTATTTCATAGTCCTTACAGTGTAAGAACTTCACACCATTAGCCCTCAATCTGTGTTCTTAGTTGTATGTGCTGCCAAATCACTCATTGTTCCTTGCATGCAAGAATTTTGTGTTAAATGTTTTTAGTCACTTAGTGCAATGCCGCCGCTTTATTTTCTTTTTCCGGTTTCATGAACTTTATAGATAGTGAAAATTGCTCCCTGTACACTTTAAATGTGGAATAGATAATCCACTGTTTTCTTCTATCAGCCACTTGTGTTGATTGCTTAGCCGTTGTAATTTTTTGATCAAAATCGATCATTTCTGAAGTCCTGGAAAAATATTACTTGATAGATATTGCTATTATGTAATATAGACAATGAAATTGGAATATGATTACTAAATTTCTACCTTTCCTGAAGCTCTTAAGCAGATGTTCCCCCTGCCTTGCCATCCCAAAAGGTAATGTTCCAGCTTTCAGATAAGATGGATAAAGAGGACTGGAGATCCTGTGGTGGTTTCTGAGCCCTGCCTGTAATTCACGGGGTTCTTTTTTCTTTCAGTTAATTTTGCATTTGCTATGTGAGGTTGTGTAAATCTAAATGTGTGTGGGTGAGGTGTCCTAGTTTTTTGACTCCGAACATATCGGTAGCCATTGAGGAGGGGATGCATGTCAGACTTCCTTCAAAGAAGGAAATTACTGTTATGTTCCCTGTAGAAAAAGATGTTTGATGTCTATGAGCTGTCTTAAATGGGAAAGTAATTGATGTGCTAGCTGTGACTACTACTTAAAATGCGGTTTCCTTGACAGTGCCAGGAGTTTTTGTGGGGGCAGTTGTACATCTTGTATTGAGCAGTACGCACGTAGCTGCAGTGACAGGATGAGTACTAGGCCTGCTCTCAGTCCTTGCAGTGTTTCTTCCTATCAACAGATTTCTTTATAATTGAGTTTGTATCCAGAGCATTTATGCCATGAAAATTGTTAAGTCTTGACTCCAGACTTGAGGAGAAGAATGTGAGGAATACTTACTATGTTATGTTATCAGTTCTCTTGAATATAATGACTTTCTCCCCTTAGTCTCATGGAAACCATCACCATCACCACGAAAAACCTCTGCTTGAACAAAACAAAGGCTCTACGTTCAAACATCTTGTTTTTCAAAGCATAGAGGAGAGTGCTTACCTGGATTCTACGTGGAAGGGACTTACAGCACTTGGAGGCTTGTATTTCATGTTTCTAGTGGAGCACTTGATCACTTTAATAAAGCAGTTTAAAGACAAGAAGAAAAAGGTAGAGAAACTATTATTTTAAAGCTATATTGTATTGCATGATAATTTCTGAATATACTTACAAAAACTTTTGAGTATCATATATCTGTCTAGATTTAATAGTGATTGCTGGCTTGATTAGTGTTATAATTTCATTTATGTTAGTGACGTGAATACTTTTAAACTACATGATAACTTTTTTGCGTGGTCCTGTTATGGAAAACCTCTGAGCTGTTTCCTTAACCAGACATAGTACAGGCTTGACACCACAGTGAATTGTTTAATTAGCAAACATCCGACTGTACCCTTTGTTTTAACAGTGATTTAAGAAGTTACTGTTCACTGTTGACTTCCTCTTGATTTCTCAAGGCTTTTATATAACTGACTGAACTGGTTTTATCATTATTTTAATTCTCATACTGAATGAAATAAGATGGCCTTGTACAGTTACTGTGCTGTTGTTGAGGGGGGCACTTGCACAAACTAGGTAAGGGTGGCATATGTGCTTACGTAAATAAGCATCCAACTACACTGTTGAAAGGGACTTCATTAGATACCGTTCAACGTGGAAGTACAGTCTGCCAAGCTTCTCCTCTCCCCCAAGACAGCTTTCACATTACTATGCCATTTTCTATGTGGAACGTAGATAACAACTGAATTTTGGCAGGTCATAAATGTTGGTAACTTGCCAATTATTGGTAACTATTCTTTAAAGACTGGTATAGCCAGGAATAAACAATGATGTCAAAGTTGACTCAGTAAAAGCTGGTGGTATCTTAAGCTTTGCTTGAAGAAAGTTAATAAACTACTAATTACTTAGCTTAAAAATCACTAATTTCTAGGCTACCACAATGACTGATGATATCTGGTTTTATTGTTAAGCTGGTTATTAAGGCAGCGGTTTCAGAGCGGATGTCGTGTAAGCTGTTTGACTTTGGTCATGGAGGTTGTGTTGGTGAGGTTTATACTGAAGCTAAACTAACTGTGAGCGACAGGATCACTTTCCCTATCTCTAGTTAAATTTATTTGCCAAGAGAGGACATGAAGAGTTCCAAGCAAAGCAAGTATTTTAATGTCCTTCTCTCAGCCATTGGGGATAGATTTCCTGTTAGACTAATTATGCCCTTCTAGATGCTGAGTTACAGATTGTAAATTGTTGTGATACAAATGTTGGTGAGCAATGATTGGAGATTTTACATGGTTTTCCTTCAGTACACTGAAAAAAAAGCGTTATACTGACATTACAATGAAAAAGAATTAGTGGAATAATCTTTACTCAGCATTTTTATGTGTTTTGCATCTCAGATGAACTCCTCTGCTTATTCTTCATGCAAAAATGTGGGGTATTTATGTGGGGGGGTTGGTTTTGGTTTTTTCTTTTTTTTTTATTTCTGTGGAGCCTGAGGAACTTTTTGTCATCTTACTGTACTTAGCTGAATTTCTGTGTTCCTCTTCTGTGGTCTTTATATGGCTTCCATGTTGTCCTCTTTATGTACAGGCAGCATAAATGTTGTGAATATAATGTTGCTCATGTATATCCTGAAAAATAAGTAAAATATAACCACAGTATTTTTTTTTTGGAATAAGAAAAAGAATGAAGATGATGGAGAAAGTAAGAAGTTTTCAACGAATGAAGAAAAGTTAGATACAGATGATCGTAAGTCTCAGTAATATTGCACAGTTGTTATTTTGTGGCAGTGCTGTTGAAAAAACACCTGACTGACGGCAGTTCATAGATCTGCTTCTTACTGTAGGTTGGATCACTACCTACCTGAATTCTCAAAAGAAAACCTGTCTGTACGTTGATATGTAGAGGACTACCTCTGTTTGTTGCTTTCCTTGAAAAGTGATCGATAGGTTGGAAGTAGTGAATTCACAGTTTTGAAACTTTAAGCCTTTTTGTTCCAAATTTAACAGCAGAAGTTGAAATCGTTCTGTGAAGCTCTTCTGGCTATGCCTGTTGCAAATACAGCTGTACCTTCTGGCTTCTACACTTTTTAGACTGTTGGATGTTATATGCGTGATCCATTATTTACCATTCTGTATATCTTAAGTCTGGGTTCTGTTAGTTTGAGTATTTATTTATAAGGTTGATAATCTAAAATCTTAGAGGTTAGTTGAAGTATTTGGAGTGCAAATGATCATGTGTCCCCAAGACAAGGCAGTAAGCCAAAACTTGTTAGCTCTTGTAGCTGAAAGAGGTGTTCAGTTTTTCAGAATAATAGTATAACTAATGAAAGAGTTGTTGGTAATACAGAAAAAACTGTATTTGTTCACTTAATTACAGGGAAAGAACTTACCAAATTTTAGCAGTTAGTTAAAATAACTAACCTTAGTGTGCCACTAATGCTTATATGAGGATGTTTCATGGTCTGTGTTGATGACTTTATTTCTGAGTGTTTATTTTTCAGATGTTCAAACTTAAGCTCCTGCATTTATAAGAAATACAGGAGTTTCCAAAATTATCTATAATGTAACCCTCTTCTGCATTCTTATTCTTCATCCCTGAGATGAATAAATGGCATATGCTTTCCAGACACTTTGTCTTTCTGAAGCAGTTGAACTAATAGCCTTCATTCTGCCAAACCGGGACGTAGTCTTATGCTGTTGTCTTTAAATTGCACTGGGTCTGAAATTAAAAGCTTTTTTACCTTTTAGGAGGCATTTGTGGCCGTTATATAGGGCTACTTCAGTAGAACGGGACAGAAACTACAAATTTTTTTCTTATTTTGAACTATTGGGAATTATCTCAGAAATCTGATTAAAGAAAAATAAGTTGTGGAAACCCTTGGGAAAAAAAATTCTGGTACAAGAAGCTGGGGTATCAGTCTCAACTTCTAAACTTACTAGTTTCTTTTTTTACTGCATCACTTGTTCAACTTTATTGCATCTTTGCTTCCTAGGTGATTTTAGAAATGTGTAATAGTATATTCTGGGTTTTTGTAACAGGGCCTGAGGGGTATCTAGGGACAGACTCTCAAGAGCCATCGCCCTTCATTTCTCAGCAGCCAATTGTACAAGAAGAAGAAGAAGAAGTGATGATAGCTCATTCTCGTCAAGAGGAGATTGACAATGAATATGTTTCCAGGGGCTGTAGAAACAAATGTCATTCTCACTTACATGATACTCTAGGACAGACAGATCATCTTAGTCATCATCACCATGACTACCATCATATTCTACATCACCATCATCATCAGAACCATCATCCCCACAGTCACAGTCAGCGCTACTCGCGTGAAGAACTGAAGGATGCAGGAATAGCAACTCTGGCATGGATGGTGATTATGGGAGATGGACTACACAATTTTAGCGATGGCCTAGCAATTGGTAAGTGTTAGCTTGGATACTGTGCCTTTGTTATATGCAAGGACAACAAAGTTTTCTTCCTTTCACTTATGCCTATCTCTTACCTCACTTATCTCTTTATTAGGAATATAAATAATTAATGGTGGATCTCGGAAGCCTAAACTTTTATCTGATAGCAGCTCTGAATGAATGAGAAAAATCTCCAGTTTAACAACCTGGACATCAGTGACAAATAATACAGAAATTATGTGCTTACAGCTATGTTTCTTTAGGAAATCTATAAACTTTGCTTGTTTTCCTACTTTTAACAAAATTAAAGCTAACAATTTTCAAAACTAAAGCTAGGCTTATTAAACAGTATTTAGGACGTAGAGCTGACTTTGTATTTCAATTATTTGTTCTATTTTTTTTATTTAAGGTAAACTTGTCCTTTTGGTCACATATAAAGTAACTGTTTTTTCCACTTCAGTCAGGCCACTAGTATCATTGGCTACTTTATTTCTTTTTCTCTTCCATCCTCACTTGTTATGCAGCATGGTCAGGTTCTGTATTTTGCACATCTGCTTTGCCTATACTGGGCCCTGGTTATACACATCATGTATAAGCTTCCCCAGAGCATTGGTGAACAGGGAGATGGGACCCTGGTTTCAATCTGCTTTAGCCTGAAGATTACCCAAATGGATTAGACAATATATATGTGTGATTTTTGTGCTGTGGGAGGTAGGCACGCATTTATTTTTACTGTAAAATGAATTTGGTCCAAGGCATTGTCTTCTCTAAGGTGCTCTTTATGCTTTTGCATAGCAGTCCCATCACATTCACATTCTCAGATCTTACCATCCACTGAAGAGCAGCATTGCAGTTCTTCCTTGTGCTTGTACCAACCTTCCAGAGAAAGTGTCTGCTGGTTTTGGCATCCTAGGAATGTGTGAGTAGGGTATTAATAAGATATTAGTTAGCTATTACATCTCAGAAATATGATTAATGGAGAAGTTGTACCAACCTTCCAGAGAAAGTGTCTGCTAGTTTTGGCATCCTAGGAATGTGTGAGTAGGGTATTAATTAATAAGATATTAGTTAGCTATTACCTCTCAGAAATATGATTCATGGAGAAGATACCAATAAAGTCACTATATGTTGCTTTTATGCAGGTTTTTGGATTAAGAGTGCATATCAAAGGAGTGTAGCATAAGTAGATTCCTTCAGATGCTCAGTGTGCTGTGCTCAGTCTCTCTTCTTGGAAAAGTATTTAAAAAAAAAAAAGTCTTAAACACCAGTCATAGTCTACTCAAAATCCTGTTCTTAAGGTTGAGTATAATATTCCTTTTTTTCTTAATTTAAACCAGTATAAACAGTTATTTTACATGTAGTCAGAATGCTTATCTTCTCCTTTTTTTGTTCACATCCATATTTTTTCCTTACATGTTGTAGTTGTTCAGTCTTTTTTGACAATGTTTCAGTGAAAATATTTCTTTATCACAAAAATAACAGATTAAATATTATATTTTGGACTTCTGGCTGGGAGGTTAGGTTTGGGAACTCCCTTACTTTTTCTACAGGAGAGCTAGACTCCAGGTATTCTAAATTTAAAAGGTTACAGTAAGTTATAGAAATTGAAGTCAAATCAGTAATCCTCGGTTCTTATGCTAGGCTTTCATAATCTTGACTGTAGTATTTAAGACTAATCTTTACAGGTATTGGATTCATTTCCACCTTGTATAGCATACTGGGGTCAGTTCAGCAGTATCAGTCTTTCTGTAAATTTTATTGTAGAAACAAGTTCATTCTTGTTTGGGCAGAAAACGCAATAATAACTATTTTCTCACAGCAGTATTTACGTTGTTCAGATTCAGTCAATTCAAAGTGTAATGTGAAAAGAGACCTTCTGATTTAATATCATTTTTGATAAAAGTTGAAGCATGGAATGTAAATTTCTGAGCAGATCAGTAGTGAAAATGTGGTAGAAGAAAGATATGCATACAAATGACATGCAGAATCAGTTACCTCTTAGCATTAGGGAGATTTGACTTTATAGTTATGAAGGGAAAAGTATGAGGAAGGTTAATAAAGGCTTGTTGAACAAATGAGAGCAATAGCTTTTAGAAGTCCTGCTGTGTAGCTTGTTCAGGCTAATGGAAATGTGGGTTTCCTTCAGTTCTGGATGTGCTAAAAGTATTATGGAAAAACATTGATTTGATGATGTGAAAATGCCAATATTACTTGTATAGTATTTTACCTGTATTTAAATGAAGATGTGAATGTTGCTGTGAAGATGGCTTTAGCCAGAGTAACCTTTCACTTTAGTTCATTTCATGTGATTTGTTATTCATACTCCCATTAGTTACTTTTTTCCTCAAATCTGTTGTGCTAATTATGTAGGAATAAAATTTTAAAGTACTTATTTTTCTGTTGAAGTATGGAACAGTTGCATCTGACTAATTTGTACAAAATGATCTGTGATTTGAACTTTTCTGTGTGTAGCTTCAACTAAGTAACTAAAATGCAGAACACTATTTTTACTATAATCTTGCATATATATTTTTTCTTCAGCTCTTTTTTTGAGAAAAGTGATGTCTTAAAAGTTTATTTTAAGATACCATGACACTATTGAATCAACTTCTCAAGAGGGGATAATACCAGATATATTAATGTAGTTTTCCATTTGTTAATGTTTCAAGATGTCTTTTTAGCAGTGAAAACTAAAAACAGATATTCCCGTTATTTAAGCCTGTACTGTGGTTGCTATGTACAGCACACAGCCATATCAGCGACCTAGGTACTTTGCGAAGCAGTCAGGTTTTGTTTGGCTTGCCTTTGTGGTCCCAAAATTAGACTTACCACGTGTGATTAAGCTGGATCCTTGTATTTTTAGTTTTCCTGTAATAAGTGCTAAGACTTGGAAAACATTGTCTAGAGACAATAATATAGGGGAACTTGTAGATTGTTGAGGATTGCAGGCATGGGAGATAACCTTCTGCCTTCCTCTGGTTATCTGGTCTCTTCAGAAACTGAAGCCTGATTGAATGCTGATGAATCCTCTTGTCTTAGTAGGAGAGAACTGTAGCTCTCCTGTCTGTCTCTCAAAATCTGACTCCAAAACTATAAAGCAATGTTTGGAGGGGGGGGAAACAGACTGATACCTGGAAAACATGGTTAGTGTTCACTAATAACCTCTCTTGCTAGTCAAACAGCAGTAACTCCTGTCACTTACCTGTTAATTACTGTGTAGGCTCCTATCACCGAATGTGTTGGAGTGCAGTGGAAAACATCCCTGCTGAAGGCTCAAGTTAAAATAGCTTTTGTCTTGCACACTGAATTGGACTTCACAAATAATGGAAATGGGTGACTTCTGGAGGTCCTTACCTGTTAATTACTGTGTAGGCTCCTATCACCGAATGTGTTGGAGTGCAGTGGAAAACATCCCTGCTGAAGGCTCAAGTTAAAATAGCTTTTGTCTTGCACACTGAATTGGACTTCACAAATAGAGTCATGGAAATGGGTGACTGCTGGAGGTCATCTAGTTGAACCCTCTGCTTAAAATGGCTCTTGGGAACACTGGATCGGATCAGTCATGGCTTTGCATAGCCAAGCCTTGAAAACCTCCATGGATGGGGAGATTCCATGATATCTGTGGCTGACCTCTTCTAGTGTTGCACTACTGTCTCTTAATAAAGTAAGTTTTATTTATGTCCAGCCCGAAGCTCCCAAGTTGTGATTTGCAGCCTCTCCCCCTGTTGTGTCAAATGTCACTACTTGGAAGAGTTAGGCTCCTTCATATTTGTGACAGCACTAAAGGTACTTATAAGCCACTGTTAGACCACCCCTTAGTCTGATGGAGAAGGGGGTTAAATATATCTAGCTTCTTCAAGCTTTTAAGCCTTACGCTGTAGACCTCTGATCATCTTGTTGATCTCTGGATGGTATTCATATCCATCTTGAACTGGCACACTCCAAAGTGGACAGAGAATCTGAGGAACAGCCTCACCAGTGCTGAGCAGAGGGAGATAAGAATTTAGGAGAAGCAAGGCCAGGAGATTAAGACTACAGTTTGTGTTTCACTGTACTTGCAATGAGAGCACCTGTTGGCTCATATTCAACTTGTCCATCATAATCCTCATGTCCTTTTTAGGAAGGCTTCTATTTCAACCAGTCAGTTCCTACCTTGTAATAATGCATGAGGTTATTCTGCCCCATGCACAGAACTTCTCACTTTTCCTCTTTGAACTTCCTAAGATTTCTGTTGGCCTAGTCTTCAAGTTTACTATGGTCTTTCTCATCTAAAGCTCTAGTGCTGGATGTGTCAACTCAGCCCTTACTTTTTTCCCCCCTGCCCCTCAACTCAGTGTCACCTGCAAATTTGCTGCTAGTGCAGTCTGTTTCATCCAGATCATAGAATCATTTAGGTTGGAAAGGACCTTTAAGATTGAGTCCAACCATTAACCTAACAGTGACAAGTCCACCACTAAACCACGTCCTTAAGTGCCACATCTGTATGTCTTTTAAATACCTCCAGGTATAGTGACTCCACCATTTCCCCAGGCAGCCTGTTCTAGTACTTGACAACCCTTTCAGTGAAGAAATTTTTCCTAATATCCAGTCTAAACCTCCTCTGGTGCAACTTGAGGCCAGTGAAGATACTGAAGAAAATGGGTCACAGTATTTGTCCTGGTGAACTCTACTTGTAGCTAGCCAGTCATCAAGCCCAGCCTTGTTAGCCCAACAGTCCAGCCAATGTGCAATCATCTAACTGTCAAGCCCGTATTTCCTTTGCTCCCAGATGAGACTGCTGTAGGAGATAGTGTCAGAAATCCTACTGAAGTCAGTTATCCTACTGAAGTCAGTTCTCTTATATTCACTGCTGTTGCCATCTCTATAGGCAGTTATTTCCCCAATACTATCTATTTTCTACCATCTATTTTCCATAGATGATAGACTGTAGCCTTGCAGTCACATCAGTGAACTCTGTCAGCACCCTTGGGTGAGTCCCATCCTGGGATGCAGCTGAGTGTTTCTATTTTTTTCCTAAGTATATCTAAACTGTTGTTTCTCTGCTGTTCACTGTCCCTTTCTTTCTGGAATGGTGCTGGGATCTGGGATCTGGCTTTGTCTATGAAGGCGGTGCTAGTGCTTCAGCCTCTTTATGTCTACTGCTTGGTTCCCTTCCCCATCCATCCACAAAACCGATTTTTTCCTGAACTTTGTTTTTCAGCTGGCATTCCTATAGAACTGTTTCTTGCTATCCTTGGTGTGTTTTTTAGTCTTAGCTCCAGCTGAGCTTTGGTCTTACTTCTTTTTGTTCTACTGCTTTTATCTTCCTTGTTGCCAATTTTTGTTTCTACTTCTTGTGCAATTCCTTTTTCAGTCTTAATTCATTAAGACACACTGCTTAGCGGGGCATCTTCTATTGGAAGTCCTGGTGTTCCTGCACAGAGTAGTTCATTGCTGCACTCTGTTAAGTGTGATTTACAAATCAGCCATGTCCTCTGGGCACTTTTTCCCCTTTGACTGATTCCCCGGGTATTCTGCCCTGCAACTTCTTAAATAAATCAAAGTCGTCTTCATTAAAATATAGAGTCCTAATTTTGCTTCTTCCTTTCCCAGCCTCCTTTCTGTATCCTGAACTCAGTTACCTTGTGCTCAGTGGAGCTCAAGATGCCATTTTTTGCTGTATTGGCCATCAGCTCTTCCTTGCTTGTGAGCAGTGTGTCAAGTAGAACTCCAATCCTGGCTGGCTCTTCTATTATTTGTATCAGGAAACCATCACCAACACAATTAAGGAACATCCTGGATTGTGTACCCAGTGCTGTTACCTTCTCAGCTGAAAACTCTCATATGAATGATGATGTCTTGCACGGTTGTTCACAGGTAGCTTTATCCACCACCTTTTGTTGGTTGGGTGATTTGTAACCATCTTCTTGGTGTTAACTCTGATCTTGACCAAGGGACTCAGTAGGCACAAGAAACTGCATTCATACGTAGTTTTATTCTGGAGCTCTGTGCAGTCAAGGAATTCTTATGTAGATAGGCAAAAAAAAAAAGTGACTTGTATTCTGACTTTTCTAGGCAGTCTGTATCTATCCATAACAGGCTGAATGAGCTTCGGTGGTGGTTCCATAGCATCATCAAGGCAGGATCTGGGCAAGCAATGGACTTCCCTGGGCAGTAGCTCTGGTGGGCAGATCTGCCTCTGCCCTCTATCCTGCATGGGAGGCAGTTGCCTGTCACTATCACCATCCTTTCTTTTTGTATTGCTGGCCCTAATCTGATGTACTGAACGAAAGTTCTGGGCTGGGCAGAACGCATTTATCCTCACATTGCTGCCAGGGTCATGACCATGTTCTGTAGATTAGCAGCTGCAAGTGGGGATGGAGGATTCGTCCTGTTGCCAGGCTTCACTGTTTTCAAATTTTACCCATCTGGGAGTTCATATTTCCTGTTCCAGCACTGCTTTGGTCCTGTCTTCCTCTTTAGTCTGAAGAGGCTTGCGTCTGTAGAACCTCTTCCGAAGACCCTCTCAGTCACCTGTATATTATCCCTCATCCAAAGATGCCTGCTCACTACTTCTGCATCCCCTTCATGGGGTACTACAGCGTGCACCTCAGAGGTAAGGTTGCTGTCACTGCAGGGAGGAGCATCCACCATTTCTTGCAGATGAAGACCTGGCTAGCAGTGTCCACCCTCGGGAGTTACATCTGGGTAGAGGCTACTGGAGTGCTGAGGGTGGTGACCCCAGCAGACAGAGGGCATTGTCTCCTGTGGTCTCATAGCCATTGTAGCTCTCCCAGGAGTACTGCTCACAGAGAGTCTTTTGCATGCCCACTACTGCGACACGGTCTTGCGCCTCTTTGCTTATTGGCGTCGCTTTGCTGACACGCTCCTGGTAGCAGTTGAAGAGGAAGCTGGACGTGGTTGTGCTGTGCCCTTTGGTGAGTCTCTCCATGCAGCTGGGGACCTCCCATGCTGTGTGAGAGCTGTGGTTCAGCTCTTCAGCCCTGCTGCGTGCTGCTTCCTCCTCAGCTGCTGTCAAATAAGAAAAATAGCAAGCAACAGGAGTGGAGAAAACAGGAAAGATGAGGACTGTTGGACTAGTTCAAGGAGATTTTGGGGGGGTTTTCCCCCACACTTAAAGTATGATAGTTCACTTACATGCAAGCTACCTCGAATTCATGATCTTTCACTACTGATTTCACACGACTACGTAGGCTCTCTTACTGTTGGACTGGCTTCCCTTTTTCCAGTGCCTGACTCCCAGAGGCAGTTGAGCTGCCACTTTCCCTTTGTATCCTTAAAGTCTCTTTTCTGACAATATTTTCTTTATTGCAGGTTTTTTGGGAGGGTTGCGTTGTTGAAAGGTATTGGGCTTAATTCAGAAATAAGATAGTGAAATTTAATTAGAGGATTCTATGTTGCTTCTGATTATGAAACTTATGAATCATAAACAACTGTTCAGTTAAAGTTTAAATGCTTCCACAAGCATAAGAAAAATTTGAGTGAAACTAATATGTCCTAATTTGATGCAATCATATGCAACAATACTTCTGGACTTGATGTCTGAATATGCAGTAATGTGGGTTTTTTCTCTCTCTTCACAGGAGCAGCCTTTACTGAAGGGTTATCTAGTGGTTTAAGCACTTCTGTGGCTGTATTTTGCCATGAATTACCTCATGAGCTAGGTAAGACCCCAATATTTCTGTATGCTGCAGGTATGGGTACTTACAGGTATGCTTTGGAGGATTATAAATGATTTTATTCTGTGGCACAATAAAATTTGATTAGAAAACTTGATCTGTGTCAGATTGTCTACTCAGGAGTACTTGAAACTTATTTAAAGATTTTTATTACTTAATCTACCTTTAAACATTCTAAATACTTCAGCTACTTTGTTTAAAACTGTGTGTGTCGCTTACAACTTGTTCTGTATAGTTCAATTGTAGTTTTTATTCTCCTTAGCAACATAAATGGTGAATTGCAGGAGAATGCATGCCAAAATTTGATTTTCTCACATCTCTGTTTAATTTTATTCTTGTGTTTGTGCTGTTAAAAGGAAGGTCACAATTAGTTTAACTCCTTTCCACATAACATTTGCTGCTTTTTCATTAAGTCTTGCAAAGAACTGCTGTAGCTCTAAATTAAACTCATAACTACTTAAAAATCTTTCCTAGAAATAGCTTGTCTTTCAAGCTCAAGTGATTTTAAATTCATTGCTGTAACTTCCCATGGGAACACACATGTCTTACCTTGTAAATTTAGCATTTGGCCCTTTTGCAGGGCAGCTTGTGAGAACAGGACGTAGCTGCTTCGTTTCACTCTGAACGAAGCTGATCTTTCCAGTTGCCAAATCATTTTGAATGTGCAACTGGTATTTCTTAGCTGTCATGGCCACAATCATACCTGGTGTACAGAATGAGGAAAGAACAGTTTGCTTGCATTTTTTTAAGGTTTAATTCCCTAGAAAGTAGAATGTTCGATTTCATTTAATGGAGCTTGTAAACCAGTATGTGTATACATCAAACCATTTGTTGAATAGTGTGATGTATTTGTCTGTACAATAATGTTACACAGAAATACATTACTGTGGAGAAAATACACCTGGGTTTGACATAGGAGGAATTGAGTTTTGTTCATCTTAATATAAATTCCACAGGAATCATGGAACTTATATTAATTACATGTACTAAAGATTGTTAGTACAAATAGACAAAATAAATTTATGTTACGAATCTGATAATTTGATTTAAATATTCTTTTAGTTTTGGAAGCAAGGAAAAAATCTTTAAAAATTTAAATCATGCCACTTTAATCAGCACAGAAAACTTGATAGAAAAACCTCCTTTAACAAGGACATGAAATGGCATAGGAATACTGAAACAAATGGGACTAGCTGAAGTTAGCTGGAGATAAAATTGGATCATTCTCTTGCTAATGCTAACCAATGTTTATAACATACCAGTTCATCTTAATTGCAATATCTTGTGGAAAACGCTGTTGTAACAAATTGCCCAACTCAGCTTTGAAGATTGCTTTTGTTTATTTTAACTAGAGATAACTTACATTTTTATATAGAATCCATTTTATTTCCAAATAATAAGCTTATATTTCACTTGTTTTAGATGTAATTTATCTAAACAACAACAAAAAATCTATTCTGAATTATGGAAAACCTGTTTCTGGCTGGCAGTCTTACCTTCAAGTGAAAATAAGGTGTTAAGGATCATCTACAGATATTAATCAATTATTTCCAAAGACTTAAAGTACAAAGAGCAGTTACAGGATAATGGAATCATCACCATTGCTTTATGCAATTAAGTGGGAATATTTTATTTTAGAAGCTTCTTTAGAAGGCTCATGCATATCAGGTACTGCAGTATTTTACAGTGTTGGTTTAAATACAAACTACACTAAAAGTTGCTTCTTCTAAAAATCCCAAGACTTTAAGGCTATAAACTTACAATGTTTGCTGCTGTGTTGTTCTTCATGTGTGCTTTTTCTGTCCCTCCGTGATTTCTGATTTTATGAGGGGAAAAAAATAAGGCAGATGACAGTATAAAAATAGGTTTGTAATCTTGTAAGAGGAGAACTCATGAGTGCTACAGTAGTTACCTGAGGATGAAAACTTCTGTGTGTTTTTCCCTGTTGTAGGAGATTTCGCTGTACTTCTAAAAGCTGGTATGACTGTCAAGCAAGCTGTGCTCTATAATGCTCTGTCAGCTATGCTGGCCTATCTGGGAATGGCAACCGGGATTCTTATCGGTCATTATGCAGACAATGTTTCAATGTGGATATTTGCACTTACTGCTGGCTTGTTCATGTATGTGGCTCTTGTGGATATGGTAAGTGGCTAGACCTGCTTGAATTTATATAGCATAGTTTAAGAATTAGTGCTAATTATATTTTGATCTGAAAATAAATTCTTCCATCTTTTCTCCCTCAATTAAGATTTTCGGTGCTTGAAGGTGCTGATGAGTACGCAGTGCAAGTGCTCAGTTAAATGGAAGATTGTTTTTATTTGGATTACTGTAGGAACAGAGATTATTTCTCCCTTAGTTGTTAAACAGAGGCAGTTACTGGCAGAAGTAGAGGAACAAATTTGCTTCTGACAACGGCTAGCATAGCAGATAAGCCAGTAAGACTGCAAGTTGTGCAATATCAGCATCACCAAATGTGCTTTGGCTTTTACACTGTCATTACTGCTTCTTGGGATGAAGGCAGAATTGTATTAAAACCTATACTGTACCTCAGAAGTATGTTTGTACAGAAGTACAAAGTATTTGGTGCATGTTCATGAAAGCTTAAGTGTCTTAAGAATAAAATTTTTATGGCTTGATTAAATCACTTGGTAAATAAGCCAGCCATTTACTCAGGATATGATTAAGACATCAGCATAATTATAATGAAAACAGTAATTAGAACATTACAGATTCTGTCTTTAAATACGACAGTAGACTCTGATGTTGTTTGTGTTGAGTGACACCTAATTCGAGGAGCAGTATTAATGCAGTCAACAGGAAGGAGTAAGACTGATACCTTATGATTGAAGAACTGGGTTTCAAGTAACTGTTTATTTTGAAGGCATTTAACACTTTCTTGTTTGTTCAGGTGCCTGAAATGCTCCACAATGATGCCAGTGATCATGGATGTAGCCGCTGGGGATACTTCCTGTTACAGAACGCTGGCATTCTGTTGGGTTTTGGGATAATGCTGCTCATCTCTGTATTCGAACATAAGATTGTATTCAGCATAAACCTGTAATCCTGGTTGCCAGGAAGAGAGCTTGGTGTTAAATTATAAGTGGTAGGTTTTCTCTATTAAATTCCCTAATGGAGAGGTACATTTGATATAGACTAGGTATTTTTATTGGTGTGCTCCTTTGTTGGTGTGTCCTTCCCTCCCTTCTCCCATGGTAGAAATGAACACTGCAAGGTTTTTTTCACTTAGGATTTAGCATTGCATACGGTACTGTGGAAAGTGGTACTTAGTAAAATATGGTGAAAGTGCCAAATCTGTTAAAGGAGTATTGCCTGGGGGGTTAGGGTGGGTTTTTTTTAGTAAATTTATTCACTGTATGTGACTACATGTAACATGGCAGTTTTTTACTTCAATGGTTTTGTTGGTTTAAAGAAATAAAATGACAGTGGTTTTTATTTTAGCACAATCAAAATCAGTGGATACAAAGCACAGTGAACAGTGTAAAACAAGACAGACATGTAATGGGTGTAGCATGTGTTTATATTGGTAGAAACTCATCTCTTCTGTATCCACCTGGTTTACATGGAGTGGCAGATGAGTCCACTCCATCCTTTTTGTGGTGGTTCTTCTCTCAATAGCTTGTGGATTCTTGGTGTCTTACTCCAGTTGGTTTCTAGTCCAAATTCTTGTGAAATCCCATTTTAAGTGTTTGCACCAAATGTTTTACCTGTTTCATCCCTTCTGGTGCAAGTTGCTCTTCACTGATTTCTCAAATCAGCAGCAGAAGTACAGCTATGAAATTCTAAAAGCATTGCTCTAGCTCTAGTATATGTCAATTCCATCTAAAAGACTTTAAGTAGTGCTATATCCCACTTACGCTGCCAAATGGCAAAGGTATATTAAAGTGTGTTTGATATCAAAGGGAGGAGTGCTACAGCCTGCAACAAAAAGTCACTTATTACAACAGCTTTAAGTATTGATTTACTTTGGGAAATGAACAGGGTAGGAGAGCTGACTACTTCTAGTTCAGTGTGGTTGCACATGATAAACATATGCTTGCAAAATGGTTACATTCTTTGCAACAACTAAAGCTGAGGAATCCAAAATAGTGAAATTTCTTTGACAGCATATGTAGGAAAGCAGCATATTAAGGGTAATTATAAGTCTATATGGAAGTATGTAGTTTGAGCTTGCAGTCTTAATATTTTAACCATCCTGAAAGCAACTGAAGAAGGATGAAAAAGACAATGGCAAAAATAAATAATTCTGCATTTGCAGGAAAAGGGAACATTAGAGAATTTCTGTATAATAAGTAACAGAATTATGCTACTTTAGCTAGCTTTAAAAGTCCCAGAAATAAACCAATCAGAACTTATTTCTGATTCAACTATACTGCTCCTTCAAATCATCACCTGAATAAAAAGCTTGAATAAAGGGGAAGTGTTTGATAATACCATGTCTGACAGGTTAAAACAGTCTGGCTTATGTTGGTCTGTCATAAAATGAAAGCCAAAACTACTGTATCACCTCAGAAACAGATGGTTGGAATAAATTGAGAGGTTTGTGCCTAGGCTTGGGGTGTTTTTACTAGTTAAGAAGTGGAGATCACAGTAGTTTCTGCAGCCAGTGGAATATTAGCTTTTCTTCCTCCTTCAGTCTTTCCTCAGGTCAACTGAGATTTGATCTTTGTCCCACAGTGATGAAATCCTGTTCCTTGCCTCCTTTGCAGTCAGGGGGTAGAGAAAGGTTTATTTACTTCCTTCAGCTCTGCTAATGCATCCTGTGCTGGGGTCTTACCAGCTCCCCCAGATCTGCACGTGTATGAACCCGTCTCTCTTTGCTTGGTCAGCAGTTGTTTGGAGAACAGCAGCCTTCTCTTGGGAGCACTCATTTTCCTCTCCCTGACTTACTTTCCATCACTAGAAACTACTCTGGTGCTGGGCATGCATCTCTAATGAGAACACTGACAAATATTGGTAGGTACGTTCCTTCCCTTCATCAAGCACTTTATATTTTGTGTTTCTTTTACTCTATGCTGTTGTTGCATTTTGATTAAGCCTCTGGGGTTTTGTTAGAAGCACACCTCTGAACCAAGGGCAGGTGCAGTCTGCCAGAGGAGTTCTTCAGTTGAGGTGCAGAAGAGTCATGTCATGGTACAGTGATCTGCTATGTTCTCATAGCATCTCCTTGATCATCCATCCTGTGCTCTTTTTCTTACAGCAGTTGTATTCTAACATTCCCAAGCTTGAATTGGTAGTATCTGTGAGGATGACGAAAAATGGATATATATGCTTTTGTATCTTCCGTGCTTTTAAACTGTTAGTTCATTTGAACTGTCTCTTAACAGTAACTTCTGTTTTGTTTCCAGATTATCTTAATTCTTATGGCACTCTGCCCTTACCGGTGCTATGACTGTTTCCTGACTTTGTAGCCAAAACTATGGCTAAAACCCAGCTGCTGATCTTCATCTTTCCTTTGCTTGAATACCAGAATCTTTGGCTCATTGGAAGCTGTGAAGTTGCTGGTGTGTGCATGTCACTGCTTGCTTTAGAAAAACAAAAAGTTCAAGCTCACCCCAACACAACCTGTCAAAACTGACTTTTTCATGCCTTGACTACTGCATTTTCCTGTACTGACCTCCCATCTTGGCAGTTCCACTTCTGCTTTTCCTCTGGAAGTCTCTTCCTGCTGTCCCTCTGTTACGGTTGAACATGCCGCCCTTCGGAGGATAACCCATCCAGTTTAAATGAGTCTCATCCTTGTTGGGGGGAACGGTGCTGGTCACCCCTGGAGCCAGTGTACCTCAGTCTGTGCTCCTGTACTGCTCCTTGGGAGCAAGGTGCAGTCCTGGGCAAAAACCCCTCTGTATGGCTTCGTCCCCCCTTCCCTGCAAACCTCTCATCACGGCTCTGCTTAGCAGTGGTCTGGTAAACCACTGTAAATTCGGTGGGCTTTAGCTCATGGCTCTTGCACCTTCTGTTCCCCCACCCTCAGCCCTTCCAGAAATCTCTTTGGTCGTGAGGGATTTCAGGCTTGGATGGGTCCCAACTCAGTTCACTTTGAATTTTTTACTAGTGGTTTCTGTTAGCCTGCAGCCTTGAGCTGCTTGTTCAGCCGGGCTTCTCTTGCCCACGTGGATTTTTAAGAACGGTGACTAAATGACGGAGGTAAATCAAGTTTCATTCAGTTCTTGGCTGGCTTTTGATGTAATCAACTGACATTAAAATACCTGCATATCAAAATACAATGCTGATGTAACAGTGAAAAATAAATTGCCTTCAGAGCTTGTGGGCAGAAATGGCTCAGTAAGCTACCTGTAAGCATATCCCACCCAGCCAGTGCTCTTCTTAAATCTTTGATGGAGATGTCCATGGCAGACAGCTGTCCAAACTAGTCATTGAGAGGGCCAGAGAATGAAACCTGCTGTAGGTTTGTACCAGCAAGATGTCAACAGGTTGGCCTTTTGTTATTTGGGGGGGGGGTTTCTTGGGTGTGGTTTTGTGTTTTTTTTTGTCAGCCCTATAAAGTAGAACCTGCATCTGTTGCAGTGTACTCGCATTGAAAATACTCCAGGTTTGGCAAACTGATGGGGTAGAGCCTTTACACGGCCCTTTGTTTCTATGCATATATTTTTCAGCAGCAGTTTTGTAACGTGCCTGGCTGTTCCAGCTGATAAACGGAAGTGAGTCTGTTTTGTGTATCTGTACCTTAATTAATTTTCTATGCTGTTACACCTGCCTTATTTAGTGCCTGTACAGGTAAAACAGAGTAGGCAAATGATGCTGGAATCAAAGTTACGTTCTTTGTAATATGTTCTTATGGTTCTGGCCCATATTTGTACAGAAAAGGGGTCATGTGAAGTTACTGTGTCAAAACCGTGGCCTGGCCCCTGGGGTTCAGGTTTCTGGGCTCCTTTGTGGCCAAATGGGTGATGGGAACCAGCCGAATTATGTTTGTTTGAAGTGCAGTCAAGGCTAAAATGTAATTCACAGTGGAATTTTTCTGTGGAAAAGCTGGGTCATTCTGTATGCCATAAGCAAGAAACAAGATGTTTTCATGAAATGTGTTTTTTTTATTTAAAAAGACTTTTTTTGGTACCTATAATGATCGCTGTAGCTATTACTGTATTGCTGTGTGCTAGAGAAAATAAACCACTGAACCAAATGCTGGGTTTTTGAGTGTTTTTTCTCACGGGTGGAGTTTTTGTCCATTACATCTTTCATTTCCCTTCTCAGGAAAAAAGAAAAATGTAAAACTGTATTTCTGTACATTTAGTAAACCCGCCTGCCTTGTACTCGGCTGGGGGCTGAGGAAAGAGTTTTTTCCGTAGAACCGTTCTCGCCTTCCGCGCCTCTCCTCACGGGGCGGTGCTGGGGCGGCACCGGGAAGGGCCG